TTCACTTTTCTATTTAACTGATTCTTCAATTGTACTCCTGTTCCACATCATGGCCATAAATTTGGTACAGCAATAGTATACCCTTTATCAGGTCAAACTTGCATTTTATGCCAGTATTGTTCCCATTATCCTGTCTTACTCCCAATCTTGAAAAATCAACACCCACCATAATGACATGACACACCTTCACATGATTCTACTTTCAGTGGGGGACCTCTTTTCCACCATATTCTAACTCTTTTGCTTCTTGTAAAAACTCTGATAGCTGCTCACTACAGTAAACCCCAACCATCGCGGAGTTTGTACATTGCGTCACTTGCCCCTCTGCAGATTGCATTACAGGTTGCTTGGGGGAGGGAGGTTGTGTCACACATGTGACAACTTCCACTACTGGCCACGAGGTGTCTTTGCAGTGGCGCAGAGGAGTTCCACGCTTCTTGCTCCCCTCACTGCTACTCCGCGACTGCCAGCCCACTTGAGCTTTTATGTGTAATGATCTATACACTACCTTCCCTACTCTCTCACCATGCCTTGTAAGCACCCTGCGCCTGCTGGAGGCTCTATTGGCACACCTGCTAAGGTAAGGAAGGTGCCGACTATGGTGAAGAAAGTGGAGTTACTTGAAAAATTGAAGAGTGGTATGAGCTATGCTGTCTGTGATTGCCATTACAGTAGGAACGAGTCAAGCATTCGCTACATAAAAAGAAAGAAAAAGGAGATTCACAAGTGCATTGCCCTGGAGGCTACAAGTGTTGCCAACAAGACACTGCATCTTAGAGACCCTGTTATGATTAAGATGAAGAAGGCTCTCAGTATTTGGATTGAAAATATGAACAGCTGTAACGTAAGTGTTGACTCTAATTATCAGGGACAAAGTTAAGACTATGAACGTTTTTCAAGTAATAGTATAAGTGTTGCAGGTGTTAGTGCAAGTGGTGCTGCAGGTGTTAGTGCACGTGGTGACAGTGCTGCAGTGTAAGTGCAAGTCGTGGTGCTAGCCTGGCTGGAGGTGCTACTGGTATGGCCGGTGCAAGTGGTGACAGTCAAGAGCAAAAGAAATCATGTTTTACAGCTAGTAAAGGATGTTTTGAGTGCTACACATCATTTATTTTATCATACAGTATTTGTATGGCTTTATAAAGAGTTTTTTGTTGCTTTACATTAATCGTTCTATCCATTTAATGTATGTATTTCCAACAATCTTTGTGTCAGATTTTCTTTGTATTTTGGTAATTTGGGCTTCCCATAGTTTCCCATGGGTGAACTTCAGGGTTTTGGGACTTCACAAGGTTTTCATTAACCTATCCCCCACGATGTTCAAAGGTTTGCTGTAATTTCTCATCATTTATACATTCTAATACTATACTTTTTTCTTTTTCCTCGTTCACTTTTATTATATGATTTTAGGATCCACAAATGATACACATAAATTCTCTCTCTTCTTCCAATGCAAACTCTATTTCACAAACAGTCTATTTCATTCCTTTACATTAGTTTTTGTATCAATTTTCCTATCAGTGACTACCATACTATATACTTTCCCTGGTTTATGTACTGTACTGAATAGATTTGTTCCTCTATTATTCATGCATTCTATTTTATCATCTTTCCAGCAGCAATCTTCCTTCCATTATGCAGATCTTTCCAGCATTACTCTTCCTTCCATTATGCCTACCTTTCCAGCATTTCTCTTCCTTCCATTATGCCTATATCTTTCCAGCATTACTCTTCCTTCCATTATGCCGATCTTTCCAGCATTACTTCTTCCATTATGCCTACCTTTCCAGCATTTCTCTTCCTTCCATTATGCCTATCTTTCCAGCATTACTCTTCCTTCCATTATGCCTATCTTTCCAGCAGTGCTCTTCCTTCCATTATGCCTAACTTATATTGGTGTTATTTTTCCATTTCCCAACCTAATGATTTCAAGTTCCCATTCACTCCTAATTTACAGTGTGTTTTAATTTCCTACTCACTTATTATTTTTTACAACTTCACACCTCAAACAGGATCATTCTACCTCCCTCTTGTCCAAAAGTGTTCTTCCCATCTCTGTTTTTTTACTTTTTTACTTTTATGCTCTCATTCATAACCTTCTTCACCAACTTTCACCTGTTCTTATTTTGTTGTTTTTCAATGTGTCAAACTCCCTAGTTTCTCTTGTAACTCCCTACCTCAACCTGTACTTATAAATGGCAGTCATAAGCCCTACTCCTCACCTTAATTACCACCATCTACCTCACATTTCATAATTTTTTCTCCCCATTTTTCACCTCCTTTGTACCCACACACTGCAGTTACCCCTTCTAGCACTGCTCTCAAAACTATTTCTATTCCTCTTCACCACTTTCTGTACTTGAATCCACATCTGACATCTACGAAATTATTTATGTGAATTACACTTAATATTACTAAATTGCAAATAAAACCAAGCAACTTGACACTACTAAACCTAAAAGCAATCTAGGATTTTGGGATGGTGGGATTCTGTATGAATTCAATGTGGAATAGCCTTCTTGTTAGGGTGATGTCACAGATTTCTCTAGAGTAATTGTGATAATCCATGATTCACTTGAATTAAATAAAAATATTGGGTGTTGGTTTATTATTATTATGTAATTAGACTGATGAGCGTAGGTAGCCATTATATGTATTCACTGGGTTGGGACAAGTTAATTTTCTCATAAATCACTTCAATCCTGGTAAATTAGTTTATATACTGTAAACTAAAAATATATTACTATTGCAACACATGTATTATTATATTTTTGTGTAAAACTGTACTGAAGTTGTCGCTAAGGTATAAACTTAATAATTTGAGTGCCACGTGTCAGTGACGTCATTTTTGGTGGGCTTTTTCGGCAGCTTAGAGTTGTTAAGTCGAGTTAGCCAGAGCTTTCTACACTACCATCCCGAGTTAATATGTCCCATATGACCAGCAACTTAAGTGTTATTTTTAAGTTTAACCAAGCTGGAAATCAATGGGACAATCTCAATACTGGATGAAGTTTTCTGAGAACTTCATTAAAGATTCATTACCCTCTCCAATAAGAAAGCTGAGGATCTGAAAGTCTAGAGGAGGGAGGAGGAGGAGGTAAGCATCCATTGCTCAAGTTTATAAAATGAATTAGCTGTGTGTGTAAAAATTTATCACATACACTTTGTCTCAATCATTCCATTAAATATTTCTATACAATTCTCTTTCCAAAGCTCCTGAAACTTGAACCTTCCATTTGGTATAATTCCAGGTCAAAAACTCAATGTGCAGTTCATCTATCCAACAACCCTCTATTTTCTCTGTCAGCATCAGGTCTGTTTATGGGCTTCATTTCCTATCTCTGTAACTCCCCTTATCACACATCATACACTTCTATCAGCCTCTTTTACTATTACTGTTATGTTGCTCATATGAAAATTTTAAATTACTCATTTACAGGTATGGTTTGCACACTTGATACTTCACTACCCTACAACTTGCACAAGATTTATGAGTGAAGCTTAAATTTGGCTTTTTATCAAGCATGTAGACCAAAATTATTGCCAGGGAACAGATGTATTTAGAGGCATACAGCATTCTCTTACTAAATTCATAATGGACAATTTTTCTTAATGCAAAGACTGTATACAGCCTTGCTTTTGTCTGAAAAAAAAGTGGGGAGGGGGGAAATAAAGGAATATGCTGTTAGTTTAGATGTGAAAAATATACATGAAAAAAAAAAGGAAATTATCCATGAAAGCTGAACAACACAATGCTGAGATTAGAGAATGAGAATACACTTCATATGCAAGACTGAATAAACAGATGATGAAAAATGTCTAAATGAAAGTGAACCTAACATGATAGGTAAGAGGAGCATTCTTCTAAGCTGGAATGCTTGATCTAAAAATGCTAACATTGTTCAGAATCCATAAAGAATTCCTTCTTTTCTAGTACAGTATGAAAATAAAATTGTAATTTAAAGATCTAGAGAATTTTTTTTTATGAAACTGGCTCCTTCACTAACTGAAGTATGAGAAACAATAAAAAAGAGGAGAAAGACAGAAACTGCAAGCAGGAAAATGGAGTTTTTTAGATTCAGGTTATATAAGTACCGTACAGTAAAAATGAGAAGAAGGATTTATGTTTTTAGGGAAATGAAATATAATGCTCAAGACCCAGACAGATGGTGTAGTAACCTAATTCATTGTTGACAAAGCTTATACAGTATTGTATACTGTATTCACAAATAATAAAAACAAATTAATCATTTGGATTATAATTAGTTACCTATAAAATTATAGGATAGGTATGTAAGAGAAATTCGTGTCTTAGAATTAGAAACATCAATATAAGACAAAACAACAGGTATAGAAAATGGAAAATTTTCCACTAGTAAGTAAATGCGAGGTATACAGAGACAAAGGTAGGGAAGTTCTTTGGTATATATTTTCTTCAAGTTACAACTACAGTATTTCCCTAAAGCAGACATGAAAATTAAATAACTTTTCTACAGTCCATTAGGGACAGAAGAGCATATATCCACCACTGCGACAGAAGAGGAATACTCAATCCTTTAATCAACACTTCTATGATTCTACAATTACTGTTCAGGTTTATGCATAGCCATCACCATGTTAGTTTATCTATTCTATGATAGTGAAAGTTAGTATTATGAATATCAAACCTACAAAACATATCTAACTACTACCACCATCAATGGTTTCCAATGAATATAAAAAATAAATCAGATCAAGTTACCATTTAATAATAAACAGGTAACTGGTCTGAGGAATTTGTCTTACCATGTCAAGTGGCTGGTCCACATTTACAACACTATCATACTGGTAGGGTTACACAATGTTCAGAGATACTGTATTTTTTTTTCTATTCCAAACCACATTTATCAGCAACTGGGATTTTTTTTTAGTAAATCAAAAAGAGACTTACTCAAGAGAATGAGATGACAAGTATGCTAATATGTCAATATACATGTTAAAATAAATACTCTGAAATGTCATACCTTTGGTAGTGGCCGTCACAATGTCAGAGAACATGCCGTCCCCCAGTATATTCTTGCCTTGCACTTGAATCTCGTATGTGTGGTCTGGAGTGAGGTTGAAAATAGTAACACTAGTACTTCCTGATGGCTTAACATCAATTTGTGCCCATGTTCGTGACCCTAGAGTTCGGTACCTGTTGGCACAAATAGAGATCATTTGTATTACCGGTACATCAGGTAATTAATATTTCTGTCAACTTGAAATAATCTATTACCCTATAACAAATTCACTCACTGCAACATCAGGTCAGTTCTATTGTGCTCCTCCACAACAAGGCCCTTGATGTACCGTATATCACGGCCTATAAGACGAAATTTGAACATTAAAAAAATCTGCCCAAAGTTAGGGGGTCGTCTAAACCACCAAGTTTAAAATTCTTACCTCTTAAATATTGTGGTTTAGTGTGTCAAGAGTGGTGATGAAAACATCGTAAGCCACTCACAAGGTCTTACCACTAATTATTTTATACTGAAACTTACGTTTGGCAAGCTGGATTCAAATTAAGATTACCGGTATATTAAAATAATAAAAATGTATTATAAACCTGTCTAACATACCGTAAAAGAGATTTATACCCCTGTAATAAACACAGCTATCATCACACACCCCTCCCCACGCCCCCCCCCATTTGCCAGTGAGGAGACAAGAAAGGAAAAGTGCATTAATTCTTGAAACTATCGACGGTTAATTACAGACGCTCAAGTGACGTCACTAGTGTTTACACTACACCAGCTGGTAATATTTGATGCCATTACTTGAAGTGAATTGGCCTTATTTTAAGTAACTAACTATAAATAAATACAAAAATTAAAAAAAAGATCAAAACTGAGAAATAATATACTGTATGTATGTTGTGTTGTCAAAGTAAGAGGAACAATTGTGTAAGTACGTAATATTTTTTCACTCAAATCCTAATGAAACACTACTGGAGAACATTCCTTTGTCGCAAAACAGTTTATAAATTAAAGAAAATAATTACAGTGTGTTTAATATATTACAGTATATTATAAATAAATAAATAAAACAAATAATTCGGTAAATCTATTTAAAGTAAATGGAAAATAAGCAAACATGTTATTTACCAAGACCCTTCCGTCTGGCTCAGGGTGAGATGGAGGGGAGATAACAAGGCTATTTATAGCCCATTTGAAGTGACCAGTACCCTAATGCACCATAAATAATTCATTGAACATTCATTTTTTGTACATAGTATATTCAGTATATATATATATATATATATATATATATATATATATATATATATATATATATATATATATATATATATATATATATATATATATATATATATATATATATATATATATATATATATATATATATTTGTGTAATAAATGTATGTAGTAAGTACATACTGGTAACCTTTTTCACTCAAATCCTAATGAAACACCACAATTAGAATACGGTGGTTGCTGTTGAACCACATGTTGTATAAATAGTCACACCACCGAGACGAGGGAACACTCCCACCACGCTTCAGTGACGTCACTAGTGTTTACACTACACCAGCGGGTATAATTTGATGACATTACTTGAAGTGAATTGGCCTTATTTTAAAAAATCAAGGATGGTTGGTAAAGGACTACTGAGTCAGTGGGTAAGTGTCACATTTGGTGTACTGGTCTTATACAGCAAATAGAGCTCAAAAGCTACTTTTTAAATGGAAATTTGGGGGGGGCGTCTTATGCACCCCGCCGCCTTATAGGCCGTGATATACGGTATTCACAATACCCATCAGCACTACTTCTGCCCCCAAAAATCACTTGATGCCATACTCCCTGGTCACTAACACACATTACTGGATGCTACTATAGTGTGAGGTCTACAAAGATGCAGTATTTTTAGTCTACCCTACCCTAACCTAAAAATATTAAATCAATAAGAAAATTTTGACAGTGCACATTCTAAAGTATTAGAGAAATTGTAGACCGCAGTCTATATTGTAATTACCCCCTGTATACTGTACTGTATTGTAGACTGAATGTTAGAGCATAAATATCTTTGTAGATTGCACGCTACAGTAGCACCCAATGCTGTTTCCCAGATATCCATCCCTTTGCTTCTCCTACACCCTTCACCTCATCCTCACATAATCACCTTTGCTTTCCAATTTCCTTTTTATTATCCACCTCTCAATTATACATAATTTTAGTAATTTCTCATTGCCTAAACCTCTAAACATGTCTTTACTGTACCACCCTACCAAACCCGGAGTTGTTCTCTGCCCTTCACTTCTACATCTTATTTTTAAATTTCTAATTTTCTGCATCCTATTTACTTCATATATTGCTCTCAAGTACAGTAGGGTCACAGAGTATGCATATCCCAAGTACTTGACCTCACTTATAAGCGTCTGACCTCCTGAACCGCCCTTAAGCTTGAGTCTCGTTCTCACGCGAGTCTCTTGCTAGCTCAGTGTGTTTATAACTTGTCCATGCTCATTTGAGGAAAAAAAAAATTACAATACTGTACTATAATGTGGTTGTGTAAGTGTGGGAAATGAACGGATGTATTGAGGCAGCAAGCTGTAACTGCGGCCAGCTACACTCTCCCTCCCCTATGTGACGTCACGGTATACACATAGCGCAGCAGTCACACATGTCTCTGGAGTCAACTGGGTGACTGCCTGGCTGAATGGTGTCACATGTATACTGTACCAGTAAAAGTGATGGATTAAACAAAAATGACAATAAATAAGGTAAAAAATTGACAATCGCTTTACTACACATGGAAAAACAGGAGACTGCAAGCAGCTGTGATCTCCCACGCCGCGCTCCACCCTACCCCTCCCAGGATCTGTGCACTTACTCCTGCGCACGAAAATTTCTTTATTCCCTTTGTTTTTTATCTTGTTTATTATTTTTTGCACATTCTGAATGAACGGTTATTTGTGCATGAAAAAAATTTAAGTTTTTTCTAAAAAACAGTTTTTGTGATAGAGTCCAGAATGCAAAGTCTAGCTTTATATCTGGATATGTAAATACCTAGCATTAACTCGCCAGGCCATCATACAGGCAATTAAAACATCTAATAATTACTTAAATATGTACATATATCTACTGAAAATTATAAGTTGAAAAACAACCATAACATAGGTCACAGTTCAGCCTCACCCCCTCTGAGTGCTAACACTGGTTCTGCGAACATTTCCTAGGTGTTTGTGCTGGTAAAATTTTTCTTTCCTGGGGAATTTTACTGTAATCATGACCCAAAAGAGGAAAATTAGTGGCAGTGCTCATGGTAGTGAGTGAAAGAGAGAGAGACAAAAAATGCATATTGTGACAACTTTTGAAGAAAAAGTCAAGATATTGGGCTTAATAAGGAGTGGAGTATCAAACTCTGAGGTTGAACATCGGTTACCTTAGTATAAAAAAGGGGTCATACATGTAAGTATATAGACTCATACAGGGGGAACCTGAATACAGGTAATTACTACATACAGTACTCGACTTACGACAACCCGGACATACAACCGCCTTGGTCGTATAAAATATTTTTCAAATTACTTATTTTCTAGTACCAAAACGTTTTGGTCCCGCACGACAGCGTGGGCTGGACCGCCTCGTGGTGTACAGCATCCACGCCGTAGCCCACTCAGTTGGTGTTTGGCCATCGTTGTTGTCGTTAGTGATCGCGTTGTGTACTGAAAAATTTTTCGTTTCTAATTCCCTTTAAAATGACTGGCAACCGTAAAAGTGAGAGTTCTCGTGGTGCTGAGATGAAAAAGAGACGGTCAATTATTTTTGAGATGAAAATTAAAATAATAATGCAATATGAAAATGGAAAAACGGTAGCAACCATCTCACGCGATCTTGGTTTCTCTCACTCGACGAAATCAACAATTTTGAAGGACAAGGAACGAATTTGTAAGGTAGTGAAAGGATCAGCACCTATAAAGGGAACAATAATAACGAAAAAAGACAAGGTCCTCTTCATGAGATGGAAAAATTACTTGTGATGTGGATGGAAGATCAGCTGCAAAAGCGTGTACCCTAAAGCCTTCTAACCATACAGGCTAAGGCAAGAAGCCTTTTCGAAAGCCTGAAGGAGCAGGCAGGAGATGAGTGCGACCAAAACTTCACAGCAAGTCATGGGTGATTCCAAAGGTTTAAGAACCGTTACAGTTTGCACAGTGTAAAGGTAAGTGGAGAGGCAGCAAGTGCTGATATGGGTGCTGCCGAAGCTTTTAAGGAGGAGCTAGATCGTGTCATCGGGGAGGGAAATTATTTGCCTGAGCAAATATTTAATGTGGATGAAACTGGCTTATTCTGGAAGCGCATGCCAGACCAGACATACATCCACAAAGAGGTGAAAACCATGCCAGGATTCAAGGCATTCAAGGACTGAATCACACTTCTGTTGGGGGAATGTAGCTGGTTTCACGGTAAAAACCTTCATGATATATCATTCAGAGAACCCAAGGGGTTTTAAAAATATCAGCAAGCACACACTGCCAGTGTTTTACCGCAGTAATAAGAAAGCATGGATGACCCTAGCACTGTTTGAGGATTGGTTCCCGAGTTGTTTCATTCCACGAGCCAAGGAGTATTGTCTGCAACAAGAGGTTGCGTTCAAGATTTTATTAATTTTAGATAATGCTCCGGGACACCCACCACACCTGGACGACATGCACCCTGATGTTAAGGTAATCTACATTCCACCTAACACCACCTCTATCATCCAACCCATGGATCAAGGTGCTACTGCTGCTTTTAAAGCGTATTATTTACGTACAACCTTCGCTCAGGCTATTGCTGCTACTGAAGGTGAGAAAATGCTCAGAGAGTTTTGGAAGGACTACAACATTTAGAAATGTACAAAGAACATAGCTGCAGCATGGGATGAGGTTACAGGTCAGTGCATGAAAGGAATATGGAAGAAAGTCCTGAAAAGATATGTGAACAGTTTCAAAGGATTTAATGAAGGTGAAGCAATTTCTGAGATTATTAACAAGATAGTGCAGATGGGTCAACAGCTGGAGTTAGAAATTGATAATGAAGATGTTGAGCAGTTGGTGGAAAGTGTAGCAGAAGAACTAAGTAATGAGGATCTTATTGAACTGGATGCACAAAAAATTGCAGAGGAAGAAGGAAGACAAAATAGTAGAAGAAGAACCTGCACCCCTCAAAATGTTGTCAGTGAAACGAATGGCAGAGGCATTTGCTACTATTAATAAGGGGATGCAAATGTTTGAAGAAATGGATCAAAATGTTGAGCATTTTGCAAAAGTTGACAGACTGGTCCAAGATGCACTTGCTTGCTACAGGGAGATTTACAATGAAAAGAAAAGGCAAACTGTGCAGTCTAAATTGGACATATATTTTAAGAAGTCCCCCGCTGCTCTCTCCTCACGCCCCACCACTGCTGCTTCTTCACTCCCTAAAGATGATCCGATACCTTCAACAAGCAAGTATGTTAGCCTGTCTGAAGAAAGTGAAATTGATGACCCACCCAGCCTTGTCTCCTCCTCTGCTTCATCCAATTAATGTAGTCTCCATGTCTAATTAAAAAATTATTGAGGCCCCGTGTGCATTCAGCTGACTACATTAAAGGTAAGTGCACAGTAACACTTTATTAATTTTTCATTATTGATTACTTTTACTGTACCGTATTTTATTTTACAATTTCTATTTATTATTTTCGCATTTTCGACTTACGACCAATTCAACTTACGACCTGGTCGTCGGGACAGAACCCCGTCGTAAGTCGAGGAGAGACTCTGTATATGCAAATTCCCACCTTTGCAGGGATCCCAGGAATGTAACCCTTGCATACTCTGAGACCCTACTGTATTATAAATTCTAAGTTTTTACTGTGTGCCTTCCTCCTATATTCCAATCCCATGATCCACATTCATGTCATAATGTCTGTTCAACTTGCCACTTGTAACTCATACAGCTCAGCTCAGCGTGCACGCACGCACACACACCATAAATTTGCAGACTACCAGAGCTACAGTAATCATATAAAAAGTGTACAGTACTTAATTTTTGTTACTCTTATATTATACAGTACTGTACATATATACTTACCATATGGTGTACTGTTGTTCCCAATCCTTCCCCCCTGGATATCCTGGCAGCCAAGACAGTGTTATACTAAATGGCTCGGTCTCAGTCGAGATGTTGTATGGTGGGTGTGGTGTTGTGCCCTCCACCAGCAACTGAGTTGCTGTTACCAAGGTAGCGATCTCATTGCTAACCATACACTCATAGTAAGCATGGTCACTCTTGCGGAGGTTTCGGATGGTAAGGTTACCACCCACAATGTGTGTGCGATCTCGTGGTAAGTTCTGACCATCTCGCTGTAAATATAAATAATTGTGCAGTCATATTTATACCTGTTCAGATATTAGGCATGAAAAATATGAAACATTTGTATTTTCTTATAATCAAATCAAGCTAATATATGCCATTACTTGTATATCTAAGACATTGCATGTAATTCTTAAACCATAGACATGTAAGTCACCATATCCCCAAACACTATGCCAACCTGATATCAGAGTCCAAATAATTCTTCCTGTAGAAGCAACTAATACTGATGATAATTATCATGTTTGCACTATGAATTATGTGGGATATTGCGCCAGTGTAGGGGTGGCATGATAAAGAATAATAAGCATTGCCAGTGGGAATGAAATGAGTGAGATGGTGGACAGGATTTCAATCATGCAGTGAACCATGAAAATGGCAGTAAAAAGCTTAAGAGAAAATTTTGAGTTACAATATAAGTGGCTACTATTTGTGGTATTAGTACAACCTGTTACTGTTTTAGGGGCTTGCTTTTGGATCTGAATATTGGAAGCAGATACTGGAGCTAATGTTGATGGGGCCAAGCTTGGGATATCACAGTTTACAGAAATGCAGAATAATTGTTTATTTACTGTTTTTTGTGATTATTTTTGTTTTTGTCCAAAGGAAGTATCTACATATATTAGTGTTTTAAGTGTACTAGGGATGTGGTAAGATGACAGTCAGAACCAATTTTCAGCACCTAAATTCAAGACATACCCTCTTCCATGTGACCTCCGGAGTGGGTGACCCTTGGCCTCCACAGACAAGTGTTACTTCCTCGCCTACTTGGCCATGATATTGGGGCTGAGGTCGAGGGGAAAACACTGGTGGGTCACGAACTAGTACCTAAGAGATGTTATTAAATTTAGTGAAGAATATTGTAGTAAGAGAAAATTATGGTACTGTATACTGAACATATAAGAAATGTACATAATGCAATTTTTTTTTTACCTGGAGTGAATTACCAACTGCAACATACCTCCATATCACCTGATGATCCAGCTGTGGTATGGCGATTATAAGGTGTGCAGCTGTAGCGCCCTTGGTGAGACTGGTTAACCTGTTTTCAGAGAAGAACACTGTGAGCCATCAATATAGAAGCAACATCAAATATATTAAGAAAAGCAGAGAACCTTTATGGATTAAGTTCAAGATGCCGACAGAGAAGTGAAGTGAAAGTCCATGATGTGAATAAAACTGCCTTAAGTACCTGAGTACAGTATCAATTTAAGTGCAAGCTTGAATTAATTCTGCATGACAGACCACAAAATGTTACAACTTGTACATACCTGCACACATTCAGTATACAAGTACAGTATACAGAATCACATTAATGGGTCAGCTTACTGTGCAGTGAACAACATATACAAGCGCAATGACAGTTATATGCACCATAAAGTAAAAAATTTATCTAATTCAGCTAACAAATTCTGTTCACCATCATCATCAATACTTTATAGCCATTTTCCATGGTGGCATGAGTTAGCTGTGATTACCTGATGACAGCCTCTCCCATCAGGTTCTTAAATCTGATATCAATTCTTACAACCTCTTCTCTTCTCATTCTTGGCCTGCATCTAACTCTCCTCCTCTCCACATTTAGATTCAGGCACCTCTTGACCCAGTTGGTCTCTTCCAATCTCTGCATATTCCCACATGCTCAGCCTAACTACACAAATTTTGGCAATCCTCTCAAAACCCAGCCACCCTACTAGCCAGGGGCAGATCCAGAAATATTAAAGTGGGAGGTGTCCAAGATGTTGTGGCTGGGGGGAACATGGCAAACATAACGAGCCCACTCAGCTGGAGCGTAGTTTAGGGGGTGGTTGTAAGCCCTCCCCCTGGAAATTTTTTGAAATCTGACCAATATCATGGGCATTTTGAGGCCATGTGCACTTGATATTAGGCAATATTCTGAGGTCAATAATAATTTATTTTTACTATACAAAAATGGCAGTGTACAATACTGCATTTAAGAAAAAGTATTGGAATTTTCTGATGAAAAGGGGGGTCCAGACCCCCAGGACCACCCCCTGCTAGCTCTGAACAAGGTTTCCTATCTTTTAGTGTCACACTGCACATCCACCTCACCATTTTCATTTCAGCACTCTCATGCCTGCATATACAGTATTATCCGTTTCAACCACCCATCAGTCTGATAAATAAAATAAAATTTAAGAAAAGTAGCAGGAAATAAATGTAATAAAAGTGCAAAATAACAGCTTGACAAAGTGTGGCTAACTACCAAGTGGGGCCATACTGCAATAAAGAAAAAGAAATGCCCGTATTTCTTTTATAATGGTAATGATGTGGTAACTGAAACCAGCTGATCCACATTCAAGGAAAATAAACTTATAAAAGATTCAGGTACTTCTTAAATCTGTCTCTCCAAAGACAAAGATTACATACTGGTTCAAGCATATAAGCCTGGGCCTTGGTAACAACAAACCTTTGTAATGAGTAATGAGCCATTATTTAGCTTGACAACTGTGCTTTCATTTTCAGCATCAAAGAGCCGTTTGTCCTTTATCCAAGTCACAAACTGGATGGGTGGATTGCTTTTGATAAAGCACTTGATAATGCCCTGTTGCCTGAAGGGAAGATACTGTATTGTTGGTGTATACGTTACACGTGCAGGATCTGAAAATAAGAATACATGAGCTGGTGATGATCACACTAGTTAGTCTTAAATATATTTTTCAGTTCTAAAAATATGTGGTTTACAAAGCAGTTACCATCTACCTATCAACAACACAAAAAACTTTATTGTATTTCCAAAAATTTCAGTAAGATGGGTCAATAGCAATTGTCTCCCTATAATAAAAACACTATAAATTAATATTTAGATAATTATTCCATTTTGACTATGCCCCAAAATATCTTAATTCTTTGTTACAGTGTATCAACTTTCCTTCATCCACCCACCTTTTAGTTTTTGTACTTGGCTGGTATGGAACTAAAAAAATTCCCAATGACTTCCATTCTCATATGAACACTGATTTCCTTACCCTATGATCATGCACACAAACTTCTGATTCAAATGGTTCTAAAAATATACCTGGTTGATATGTTACAGAGATGACCCACCCAAAATTCTCAGAACTTGTCAGAAGAACATCCAAGTTTCAATGAACTTGGGTAACCAAATTAGAAGTAACTGAATGTTAGCCAAAAAACACATGACACATAATTACTGTAATGCATAAACTGCCTTGAACTTTGGGTGCCCACTCAACTGTTTTCAGAGTGTCTTTACCAATCCTCTTAGATTATGTATTTTCAAGCTTCCAATTTCATTCATCAATCCCAGCCTCTGCCTTTTTCTTGCTCTTTTACCCTCAATTTTACCTATCAATATCTCTACATCCATAATTATACGGCCTATCCAGAAAGTACATAAAATGTCCTAATTGAACTACTCATCAGCAAATTGCTGAAAATTTTTGAATCTCAATCTTTATTGCTTTCATTACCAAATGCAGAACTTTTATGATATAAAGTAATACATTTTTCCTTCATATCATCATTAATAAAAGCAATAATATTTTATTTTATTGTGGATTTGATTACCATTCCCTTTCTTGCACTAGCAATTATGTTACTTGGAGTACATTTAATGATTGGGCATTTTTTTTTCTTCTGTTTTCTGGTCCTCTGACCTCAAGATTCTGGATTCACTACTTAAGGCTCATTGAAGGAGAATAACCACCACACACTCAATCATTCACTAAGTTGTGGAAAAACGCCGATTTCTAAACTACAAGCACAGCTTACGAGTAACTCGCACTTAATTATTATAATTCTACTTAATAGGTCTGAGCAAAACAGATATAATGAACTTACATTCAACATTAAGATAGGCTGTAGCTTTCTGAGGTGTTCCAATGCCATTGGAAACTTCACAGGTGAAAAAGCCACCATCATCTGCACTTGTTGGATTAATAATAAGCGCTCCATCTCTCCTGATGATGGAACGAGTGTCTAACCAGGAAAGCTTATCGATGGAGACCCCTTCCCTCTTCCAGCTAACAGTCACATTGCCTGGAAGGGCCTTTGCTTCACATGGAAATTCTACTTTCTCGCCTTCTTGTCGGGTCTGGTTTTGGGGGGGTGTTACAATCACCGCCCCACCTGCAATTTTTCAGTCTATCATAATTCAGAAATCAATTTTATATCAGAGATAAAAATCTTTACATGACACTAACTAAAGTATTATAAATAAAAATAGCAACAGGAACATTGTATACAGTAAAAAAATAAAAGAAGAGGTTATTTCTTTACACATTAAATACATAAATATTAACACAATACAAGTACAGTACTGTACAGGTATATAGACAGTACCAGTAAAGACCATATTTTTCTGTATTTCCTACTAAATTACTAACCATAAGTGAACAAAAGTAAAATGTGGGGTTTACCCAGTCAATGTGCAATGAAAGCTAAAGCAAATGATTCAGCCAGTCAACAATCACAAATGAGCTGCACCACTCCCTCTTCCAACTTTTTACATTATATTTATTTTCAGTTCTGATTCATTGTGGTAATTTGATGTTAAATATGTAGTAAAAGGCAAGAAGTATAATGCCTGAACTAAAATTCCTGACAACTTGGGAAAAATGAATACTTTACCTCCTCATTCATGAAGGAGCTTGACTGAATTTCCTTGGAGGAACAACTGGATACATTATGCAACTCACCCGGCATAAACCATCATTCCATTTCCATTTGATTTAATGAAGTACTGTACGTACTGTGTTCTTGTACAGTACATCAATTTCATATACAGGTTGTATCTCTCTAGTTCGGCATTCAGTGGTCCAGAAACTCCTGTGGTCCGGAACGATTTTAGTTTGCCCATGGAGAAAATTAATTTGAGTCTGGTACTTTCGATGTTTGGCTAAATTTTGCCTTATTTACCCTACTTTTTTGGCGAATTACTACCTGTAATAAAGCAACATCCTAATAAACCAACGAAAATAACAGATAAAATTAAATAAAAACTAAAAACAACACAGAAAAGTTCATATGTTCTACAGCTTCAGCTAGAATTGAGCATACGTCATCCAAGTAAAAACACACACAACAACATTGGCTGTCCTTATGTTTTCAACTTTACCACCACTGGTGGGTAGAATTTTTGTTTTAAATTCAGAAACATTAATTAAAATATATTTGAACAGTAAATATGTGTTGCTTTCATATTCTTAGGTATAGTAATGACGATATGTTTTCACATGTGCGCACTTACAGATGTGAGCTCACTTTTTTCTTTACCATTAATGGTTAGCTACTTATATTGTTCCATTTATTAGCATTAAATAACATTACTTAAAACAACCATATTAATTTTTTACATTAATTTTACAACAGCTACAACCAGGGTCTTATTTTCTTCGGTTTTATATGTAGATCCAGTCAGTCACTGGTTTTGTAATCAACGAAAACAATCCCGTCTCGTTTCCTCGTGTGTTTTAATATTCTACATATTATTAATGAATTGTATTGTTCATTTTGCGCACATAAAAACTAATTAAATCAAAAAGACATTCAGTAATAAACAATACTGTAATGAATCTTTTGTACACAAGAGAAATGACGCTGTTTACACGATTTGTGCACGTCTGAACGTTGGCGGGCCACTCAAACCCGTCGAAATTTGAGTTTCCGCCGTCAAAATTTTAAATTAAGTAATGGGTTTTTTTGTGTGTCCAAATAAAAAAACGTCGAATTAAAAACTCCCAAAATTTGAGAACCGACTGTACAACATTTGACCCTTCAATATATCTTCAAAGAGACCACAAAGCAGTGAAAGTGGTGCTACTGCTTCCAAGCGTAAAAACAAGTCACTATCTATCCAGGAAAAGGGTGAATTTCCATGGTCAGGAAATTTCCATTTTCCGGCCCCAGTCAGGTCCCGAGGTTGCCGGACTAGAGAGGTACAACCTGTAGTAGTATTTCTAATTATTTTTATGTTCTTAATTTCATACAGCATGCAGTATACTTTTATCAAATAGTACATAAGCAGTTGTTAGTTCTGCTGCTCTTACCAACCAAGCACAGGCAGTATATGCATGAATAACTACAAGGCAGCCAGTGTGACTTCACTCACTGCTCTGTATATTCTTATTTGCTAGTGTACTGTACTGCATTGTTGTTTTTCATCTAATGTTATATATCCACTGTATATATATTCCATTATGTACAGTTGGGGTAAAAAATTCACTCTTGCCCAAAAAGAAGCAGCAGCGACCCCTAATGAGATGAAACAGTCAGGATACATCAGTTCGGAGACTCATTCCTATTACTCCGTTTCACCACGGGGAGCGAACTTTTATCCCCGACTGTGCAGTAAAGAATTCATTATTTATTTATGAATATATTTATATGTAAAAGGATTCTGGTCTCATGATACAGTTCAAGGATTTCAGACTGTGACATGGTACTATGTCTGACAGACCTCAAGTACCTGGGAACATCCACGATTATAAACACAATAGTCCCAACTTTATTTATTATCATAAATAGTCAACCTGTGAGTAAAAAATATGCAAGAATTATGTAGTTTACTGTACAAGTATTATTAAATGGGAGAAAGGTACATTATAAACATACCCGCAATTACAACTTTGGCTTCATGATGAACTCTTCCCTCAGCATTCCGAGAGACACATACATAGTCCCCAATATCCTGGTCACGTATCTTGTTAATTCGAAGTTCTGTGCCATCATTGAAGATGCCCACAGTATCCGAAGGTTCCACTGGTTCATCATCCCTAAACCAGAAAATCTCGGGCTTTGGAGTTCCTTCAGCCTCACAATTAAGGATGATGGAGTCACCAATATTGACATAAGTGACATCATCAGGAGTTGTAGTAAATCGTGGAGGTGCTGTAAAAAGATCAAAATGGAGTAAGTAATGCTCATATATCTGACTGAAATTAGGGGTGAACATTAATTATACAAACAACATTCCTCTCAAGATCTGCATATGTAATCTGACAAATCAAATCTCATTCATTCCCTAAAATTGTAATCTAGTACAGTACTGTATTTGTCAATGAAATAATTTCAAGATTGTTTGATATACAGAATAATATAGAATTAGGTCTCTTTTATACCAACATTTATTAAAGGTTTAATGTGAAGCTGTTTGATTTAGTGACCCATGAGTCTTGTCTATTTTCTTAGGTAAATGTAATTGTGGGTAATGTCTGGGTACTCATGGAGAAATTCAGATACAGTAGTGTGTAAAATCACAAGTTCATATAAAACAAGTCGTGCCATACTCATCCCTGCTTTGCTCATCATTTATCCACTACCAAAAGCATCACACTTCAGGGGCAGATCCAGGAATGAAAAAAAAAGGGGGTGTCTAAGAACTTGTGGGTGGGGTAAGTGGCATGCATAGCAGCCCACCAGCTGGAGGGGGGGGTACTGTAAGCCCAGCCCCTGGAATTTTTTTTTTAAATCCAACCAATATCATAGGCATTTTGAGGCTATTTTGAGGCCATGTGCATGAGATATAGCAATATTCTGAGGTCAATATAAATTACTTTTTACTAAAGAAAAATGCCTGAGTGCAATACAGTACAGTGATGCATTAAAGAAAAAGTGTTGGAATTTTCTAATGAAAAAAGGGTTGCGAACCCCAAGGACACCCTCCCTGGATCTGCCCATTTACCTTGCTCCTGCTGCCCCACTGTCCATTCACACTAGTAGCCTGAACATAAGTACAATATTACATAACAATTAGTGGGGCAAATAGACAATAGTTAAGCACTTTTAGACAGAAGCATTATATATATATATATATATATATATATATATATATATATATATATATATATATATATATATATATATATATATATATATATAGATCTCGCTAACTTAACACCGTTAACGAATATTAACTTAACTGCCTTCCATAAGGATCTTCAATCGTTAATCTAAAAAAATTATTAACTAACTTCACGAACCGACCTCAACATGTTTTAGCAGAATGACCGGGCAACCAGCTTTAGTATCAGTCCGCCAATACATTAATCGGTTCTAGGCTTTAAATTCTACTATTTTTAAATGTCAAGAAGTTTATACTATTCAATAATTAAAAGTTTAATATTCAATTTTTAGTCATTTTAACAATTATTGAACAAAATTTAAGGTAAAGTGACTAGTTTAATGCGCTGCATCCAGCCTCTTAACACAGCAAACAGGCGCCAGTCTCTGTTTAACTGATAACATCGTGTTGAGACTCTTCTTCAACTAAACGCTTTTTTCTGTGTTTCCAAGCAAATTATTGGTCATTTTGAAATATATTTTATATATTGACAATATATAATGCAGTGCAGCGTTGATTTCAAGAAAATAATCTTGAATTAAACCAGAGAGCTAAAATTATGGGTGAAATGGCACCATGGTGACTTCTCTTCCACCCCAATGCCTTCTCCTTTCTCCTCCACCCCCATTCTAAATCCCATCATCATCATATCATCATCATCATCATCATCCAGGAGCCTTCTACATACACACACCTCAAAGTAAGTGAACTTTTCTACCATTTTGTTGAATTTAGGAAATTTCGTGAGCTGGAACCAATACCAAAAACCCATTGAAACAATGGTTTCGGTTAACGAACGTTTAACGAACGACCTTCTGGAACGGATTGAGTTCAGTAACCGAGGCCAATATATATATATATATATATATATATATATATATATATATATATATACCCCACTTAACGCGGTCAATTGAACCCAGAGGGTCCTGGCTATAAGTAAATCCAAGTAGTGAACAACAGAACATATGGGATTAATTCCAATAGAAACCGGCCCGACTTCAAACTCCACTTTTTGAAGGCACATACCTATGTTGTAGTAAAAAACATCTTAATTTTATGATGGTACATGCAACAATACAATATTAAGAATAGAGAATACAGTCGCTAAGTTAATGTCCATTCAAATAATGGACTGACTCTCCCTCTCACACTATTGTACACTGCCGGCTTTCCCTCTCAGAGAAATTTTTGGGGAAAAACCACTAAATTTAATAAATAATACCTAAACTAAAGTTAGGATAATACAATTGACATTGCTGGATTCTGTAAGACTAATAATGTCATATATTTTGTAACAAAAGATAACATAGTTACTCAGAGAAAAATTTTTTATCTAAAAATTGTATGTCTAATGCAAAATATATGATGTTTATATTCAAATGATCACAAATTATAAAAATTCCAGCAATGTAAATTATATTCTGACCGGTAATTTGTGAATTTTATGAGCTAAAACAAATATCTTCAGTTAAAAAAAATAATCTTCAAGACACTATCTGTCAATCAAAGTACCCCACCTTGCCTCTTTCCAACTCCCAAGTGGTCAGTCCCAACCCCCCCACCCCCCACCAATCCTCCTTCCAGAGTTTTAACATTTAGTATTAAATAATACCTCAGATTAGATAGTTGACATTGCTGGATTCTTTGTAAGAAATGTCATATATTTTGCACAAAAGATAACATAGTTACCTAGAGAAAAATTTTTATCTAAAAATTGTATGTTTAATGCAAAATATATGATGTTTATATTCAAAATGATCACCAAATTATAAGAATTCCAGCAATGTAAATTATATTCTGACCGGGTAATTTGTATGAATTTTATGAGCTAAAACAAATATCTTCAGTTAATAAAAAAAAATAATAATTCTTCACGGGGTAACAGATGGTCGGTCGGTCCCTCCCTCCCCCCCACCCCCCACCAACCGTCCCAAGGAGATGTGTGGGATAACCACTAAATTTTAATAAATAATACCTCAAACTAAAGTTAGGATAATATAATTGACATTGCTGGATTCCTTGTAAGACCAGGAATATTTTGAATATAAATGTCATATATTTTGCACAAAAGATAACATAGTTAATTTGAGAAAAATTTTTATCTAAAATTTGTATGTCTAATGCAAAATATATGATGTTTATATTCAAAATGATCATCAAATTATAAGAATTCCAGCAATGTAAATTATATTCAGACCGGGTAATTTGTATGAATTTTATGAGCTAAAACAAATATCTTCAGTTAATAAAAAAAAATAATAATTCTTCACGGGGTAACAGATGGTCGGTCGGTCCCTCCCTCCCCCCCACCCCCCACCAACCGTCCCAAGGAGATGTGTGGGATAACCACTAAATTTTAATAAATAATACCTCAAACTAAAGTTAGGATAATATAATTGACATTGCTGGATTCCTTGTAAGACCAGGAATATTTTGAATATAAATGTCATATATTTTGCACAAAAGATAACATAGTTACCTAGAGAAAAATTTTTATCTAAAAATTGTATGTCTAATGCAAAATATATGATGTTTATATTCAAAATGATCACCAAATTATAAGAATTCCAGCAATGTAAATTATATTCTGGCCGGGTAATTTGTATGAATTTTATGAGCTAAAACAGGCAGTCAGGCAGGGTGGCGGGTGGGGCAAATCTAAAAATAGCGTCTCGAGCCGGACACTCACCGCGTATATGTGGAAAAAATCGTGTTAAGTGAAAGTTCAGCTCTGGCGAGGCACGCGTGCAGTAGCGTTAAGTGAAACCGCGTTAGGCGAATCATACTGTACAGGTATATATATATATATATATATATATATATATATATATATATATATATATATATATATATATATATATATATATATATATATATATATATATATATATATATATATATATATATATATATATATATATATATATATATATATATATATATATATATATATATATATATATATATATATATATATATATATATATATATATATATATATGTTTTCCGCAGTCTCATGAAAGAGAAAATGCCATTATTGTATACTGTAATTTGGAAAACCTTGAATTGGTAAAGAGACCATTAAGGTGGATACTAATAATTGTAAGAAGACACCTTCTGATCTAATTGAACACCAATGTAATAATGTATGTATCACAAGGAGTGAAAATTTATTTTCTTACATATAGTTAACCTTCAAGTTCTAATACTAGTACCTGTATGTCTTGAATCAAAAGTAAGCCCACCCAAGGAAGCACTATGTGTGGATGTGAAAATTTTGGATGGCACTGCCTTAGTTCAAATGATGCCTTACCAAACATCAAATACACCTGACCCTTGCTATATGCAAATTCACAATTATCCAAGGACCCTACTTCTACCCACAATTCACTAATGCAAAAAAAATGCTGTCATGCATTCTGTACAAGATATGGGAAGGGGAAAAACTGGGGATGAGGTGGCCTGTGAGATAGCATGTTGCCATTTTTCGTATTTTATAGTTTTATATTATATTTTCTTTTTTCTAAGACACATTAGAGCATTATTTTTCCACACTTTTATAGAACTGCAATATTATTGTCATCTAGTGTGTATTTGTTATGAAAAGTGCCAGAATTACAGCTGGGGGGAGGTCTAGATATGGTTGTGGAACACACAATCATTTTCCCCAGAAGCTTAAGAATTTACACCATGCAATTTCGAGTTATGCAAGATTTATGCAGAAAGTAACCCTAGCATAAAGCGAGGGTCAGGTGTACTGTACATTCAGACAACATGCTAATGACATACAGTATTTGTACCATATATCAAAGCACAACTATCTACTGTGTCTAGAATTGATCATTCAGATAGCCTTAAGATGTTCACAAGACAGAATCAAGAAACTGGATCTAGGAGAAGTGTTCCAACAGCTCAGCTTCCATCAAATTGGAAAAGTTTTATTCGTGATGTTGTGAACAAGATCGAACTCTTCAGATTTCTTGCAGAACAGGTGGCAAAGGTGCACAAGAAATCCAAGGAAGTTTATTCCACTTATGGTGAGATAGTTATCTGCTCACCTGAACAAGATATGCCTTGCTCTCATGAGGAGGCAGATACGAGAATCTTTCTCCACATGCTATACATGCAGTTCAAAGAGGTCACCAGTGCATAATGATAAGAACAGTGGATATAAATGCTGTGGTACTAGTCATTGCCACAGTAGAGCAAATAACAGCAAAAAAAATATGGATTGCATATGGTGTTAGCAATCATTTCTGATACATCAGCACTCATTAGATTGCCCAGTGGATAGGAGTTGAAAAAGCATTGGCTTTACAGTACCTATGTTCCATGCTTTTACTGGATGTGACAATGTTTATTTCTTCTCTGTTCATTGAAAAAAAAAAAAAAAGATAGTATGGGACAGAAAGTTTAAATATATTAGCTTCATCACCTAGTTTATATGAATTGATAAAATGCCAGTGTAGAAAAGGCTTGTGGGGGAAACTGCAAGTGTACAGAAGCTAGTCTAGAACACATTGCTCGCTGTTCATGTGGAGGAAACTGTTATAATGAATACTGTAGTTATTGTCTAATTACGTAAAATGTATACAGGACTACCACAAATGATCTTTCTGCAGTTTTATAAAAGTTCAAACTGGTTTATGATTTTGAAATATATACTGTACAGGTACTCCTCGACTTTCGACCACCTGGACATACGACCGCCGCAGTCGTAAAAAAAAAAAAAATCAAATTACATCTTTTCGAGTCCCGACTTTAGTGATCATGTTGTGTACTGACAAAATTTTTGTTTGTTATTCCCTTTAAAATGGCTGGCAAGCGTAAAAGTGAGAGTTCTCGTGGTGCTGAGAAGAAAAAGAGACACCCATTTTAGATTTTCTATGTATTATTTTCGCCTTTTCGACTTACGACCAATTCGACTTATGACCTGGTCATCAGTCCGGAACCCCATCGTAACTCAAGGAAAGACTGTACTGTACATTTAAAACTTAACTTCAAACACTTGTACAGTATACAGGGCTGCCTCACTTATCGCAAAGGTTACGGGCATGAAACTCGTTGCGAATATCGAAATTGCGAATAGCGGAGCAATTTCTCCCATAATAAATAATGTAAATAGGGGGATAAGCACTTTGAGTTTATTAGGCGTATATGTTTAAAGTACAGTATACAGGGGTACTTTACATGTTTGAGTGTGTGAGTGTTTGAATGTTTATGTGCGTAGGTGTGTGAAGCAAGTCTTAAACGTAGACATCACGGAACCTCGTCACCTTCGTAGCCGTCAGTGGTGTTGCAGACCCAGCCATCTCCTTGATCTTGTCGGCACTTTTAACTATAGAATGCACCATAGAGGGAGCCAAGCCGTGCACACGCCCAATCACCGACATTCCTTCTCCGTGTTCATGTCTTTTTGTGATATCCAATTTCATGTCCAACGTAAGTGCCACACGTGATCTGTTAGCAACATTGCTGGGAGTTTTAGTAGCTGGTCGCTAAGGCATTGCGAGATCACACAAAACGCACACCAGCACGTGTGAGATTGAGGTGAGCGTATGGCGCAGGTTTAAGTACACACGCTGTCCTACGCTACGGTTGAGGAACGCGGTTCAAAATTTTTCTCATAAGAATTTGAGAATAAATGGGGTAACCATTGCGAATAGTGGAAATGAGTAACAATAAATTGATTGCGGATAAACGTGGTTACGAATACCGAGGTTATGAATAACGGGGTTTGCCTGTAATACATGAAACTTAAGAAACACATACAAAATGTGTTATGACAAAGCAACAAACAGTTTACCATGTCATTACGGTAAACAGATTATGTTTTATCTTTATATACAGAGGGCCCCCTAAATTCACAGGGGTTAGGTTCTCAAAATGGCCACGAATATCCAAATCCGCGAATAACATTTGCGTATCGGGGGAGGGGGGGGTTACATTTTTACTTGTGTACAAAGAAATGTTATCAGAAACAAATTTATTAAAAATGTGACAGGTCATTTGGCTGATCACCTTATATCCATACAAAGTTAAATCTGTTGATCTAAACTAATTATGAATATGATCAATGGTATGCTCACTGGGCCACCAGTAATCAGTCACATCCATGGATACAATTATGTAACATTTGCAATTCCTAATAAAAAAAGGCAAAAACAATTTGCAGTTTGCATCAAGACTTGTGAAAAATTCTTGATGTTTAACCCTTTTCATAACAAAATTATGTTAATTACATACAAATTTACATGATACTGCATTGCAAATTACACACGTTATTGGCAAAATGCTTTTAATCCTATGCAAGCCATATTGCTCAAGGACTCTACTGCCAAATATTAACTAAGTGTTGAATTTAGGCTGCATAGTCCCACACTCTTGGATCCACCAGAGGGCGCTGTACACTGGGTTCCATATCCAAAAATGTTCAGAAAGGGTTGTATCAACAAAAAAAAATTATATACTTCTGTCAAAAAGTGCACAATTCATCCCAATAAATGTGCCATGCCAGAGCATTTTATTTTATTATATTTATTTTTTAAATCTGAAGCATTCCAGTACAGGGCAAAAGGTATTTAGACTGGTGAGGGGAAGGGTAAGTAAATGATGACCAGGAAAATCAGAAGTGAGCAACACTTACCGTGTACATCAAGGTGTATCCAGGTACCATTTTCAACGCCGCTGCGATCGAGGTAGAAGACATTACACTCGTACCAGCCTTGGTCATCCTCTCTGACAGAGGTGAGGTTAAGAGAGGCCAGCCCATAGCTTGTGTCTGGTGAGACCCGTGATGCCCGACCCTTATAGTTTTCTTCCACGTGGGGGTCGTAGCCGTCGTACCATATATATATGGGAATCTTCTGGTACTGCAAAGAATAGTACCTGTTAGTATATATGACATCTTTTTTAGACTAAATTCTGTTAAAATTTCTTTAATAAAACTTGTATTACATTACATTCATTGTCTCTAGAATAATTTATGGTATAGAATAAAGAGATGCCACCTTATATTTTGATGATTTTAATGTAATTTTCACACATACAATACTGCACTGTTTACAGTATTTGTCATAATTCATAAACTGCAAATTTGATATTGATAATGAAGCAGTTTATTTAGCCAGAAAAATACAGATACAGAGTGGACAATAATAACAATACTGTATTGACATGGGTGAGCCAATTGAAAGCCTGAGTTCTCTTAGTGGCACCTGATACATACTGTACTGGATTAGTACTGCTGAAAAATTCTTCTGGTGTTAGCCAGAATAAAATACTTTGGTGTTTAGAAGTGTTTAAATCAACATGTGTCACTGAAAGACTTCTGGTTGAAGCAAGTCTGATTAGGGAAATGAATTCTATAAACCTTAGTGATGGTTAGTAAAAATATGTTACATAAATTTATTTGTCAGTGGCCCAAGGTTAAAAATGCTTTGAAAGCATTTGAGGTGGATGTAGGGTAGATGAGTGGGTCTCATGTTTTTTACCTGACTTGTTACATAGCCCAATTTTTATAAGCTCTTCTTTCGTTTACAGTGGAGGTGGTGTGTGAATTAGTGGATTCTATGTTATTGACCTGACCTGATGTTACGTAAGGTCACCTATTGTATATAAGCCTCTCAGTCCCTGTAAATTCAGTTGCCTCTGAAGATGTCTTGAATAAAGACAAAAGCTAAGGTGCTCCAGTGTTTCCCTTTTCCTGTGTGGTTTTATCAAGATTCATCTTGTCCACGTTTCCATTGTGGATCTACATGATATATATATATATATATATATATATATATATATATATATATATATATATATATATATATATATATATATATATATATATATATATATATATATATATATATATATATATATTGGTTGAACAATTGAGAAAGTTTTCCTATTTTCATCAACCTAGACCTTGACATATCCCAAAGAAAGATGAAGAAAGCTGTAATGGTGAGGCCCCACACAGGTGACAATACAACCACCCAAAGGCCACACCCTTCACCAGCCCTCCCTACATCACCACGTAACAACACCTGCCAATGGCGCTAAAGGAGACTTGCTACAAAACTTATCAAGAAAATTTTTAACACGATCTAAATAAAAACCAGGATATATATCAAGGTACCACCATCCGACGATCTGCCCCCACTCTTTAAAACTTTTTTCTCACCTCCCTTCCTTTCGACCAATAGAGAAGCAGAAAATTACCAGACAGCGACCAAATGCATGCCAGCTTTGAAGGGAGTGAATTTACAGTAATAGTGGTACACTGTAATAGAGGTAAACCATCCTGTGAGGGCTTGAACATGTGCAGTTTAGTATTCAGGAAACGCCGCTCAATGTTCTAACTTAGGAAACTTTGCGAGCCTTATAAGAGCCTCGGGGATCAGTGGTCGGGCTGGTGGTGGTGAGGGAGGCAGGGTAGTGAAACTCGGCTTGCAGACTCCCTAGACTTACTACGAGGTACTCATACCCTGCCACTGTCATGGGGAGCTCATGTTTAACCTCTTTCTTCCCTCCCTGCTTTCTTGTCTGTTCATTTCTCCTCCATCAAAGGTAAGCCCTGGCTCTGCTAAAAGTACTAAATGACTGTTGGTCTTATGGGTGACCAAGTGGAAGTGTATGGAGAGAGAGAGAGAGAGAGAGAGAGAGAGAGAGAGAGAGAGAGATATGTATGCACCTGTCTCCTCCACTGGATGATGTGAGGGACCTTGGGGTGTGATACGGGACAGTTGAGGACCACCGCCTCCCCCAGGATGGCCGTGATATGTTCTGCGTCGCCGTACTGAGAACACGCCCCTGAAACAACAAACAGCTATTAGTAACGAGATCAATAATACCAACGTTATTTGTGATATTGGTAAACAAAAAACAACATTAATGAATCATATACTTCAAAAGTATATAACAACCTTAATAAATACATAAATTAACAGTAAACAACAGTGTTAATAGTAATATTTATTAACGAAACAAGCTGAAAACAATGTATATTAATAGCAAATAAAACACGTTCGTAACACTATACATTAATAAAAACCAACATTAAAACATTAACAATTATACTGTAGATATAAATAAAAACTAACAATATGCACAGAAATAAAAAACATTGAGCATTAATAAGTATAGATAAATATAATAAAAAATACAAACGCATCTATTCAACAAAGACCGACTACATAAATTAGAGAAAGAGGGACTTAACACCCCAACACTAGACTACTGCACGAGGGCCAGGAGACAGACCACCATCCCCCAGTTACCGCTGAACCCCGTCAACCAATAAGCAATCAGAGGGGTATTGTAAGCCTTTAGTAATCCCTAATAGCTCCAAATTGTCCCACTAAGTCTCTATAATTGTTGGTCTCTACAATGGAGAGAGTATAAGGAGTGGGAAGGGGAGGACCGGGGAGTGATCGGTGGGTGTTGGATGTGACACAACGAAAATACAGAACAGGCACAACCGCACAACCCCTAAGTCCTATACTAAACCTCGAGGACTGACGAATGACCCACGAACTATCTAAGCTTCCGCAGTGCACAGATCATAGACACGAATACACCTAGTTAACATGGGAGTCTCAACTTCACCAAGCGAGAACCAGTAGACGTTGGTGAGGTTAGCAACTTTGGTTATCAGCTTCGATTACCTTCGCCCGTGACACAAACAGTTACTGTATACTAGTAGTATATATCTTCAACAAAAGAAACATATAAGCTGTGACACCACCAACTAACAACTACTCTGCCTTAATTTAAACAAAGCTGAGTATGTGCTATTAACTCAGGGCAAACTATTAGTCAATCAAATCTAAAAGTGAACAAACATTCACTTCGCCACTCCACTCACCGACGCCCGTATTCTTGAGACGAGTCAAACAAATCCAAGAGATGTAACCCCTTAAACATACTAATTATATTAAAGGCCTCAGTGCTGCAACACCCCCCACAAAAAAAAATAATACCGTGGTAATGGTTCCCAAGTGGTATACATGGTCGTAGGAGGCGGAGCGTGGTAATTAGTATTCAAGGGTAAGCTGCGGGATCGACCAGGCTGATCCCTTGAACATCACGGCCCACCACTATAACCAGGATACTGACTGAGTCTGCTTCTATTGCTAGTGATGTTAGTGGTGCTAGTGATAGTTGTAGAGGTGGTTGTTGTAGTGAATGTTGTTGTAGTGTTTATGGTGGTTGCCCTTATGCTCTCTGTTATTTTTTTCTCGTGAGCTACATATCAATTTAATGGCGTGTCGGAATATGTATTAAAACACACACACACACACACACACACACACACACATGAAAAGACCCCTAATCAACATGTCACAACAAAAGTAACTACTACTTTGCTGTCACTCGGAATCGAGTATGACGATCATCCAGTTATGATACAATGATTAGTTATTAAGGATGCCACCTGGGTTGGTGAGTTCTGAGGTGACTAAAGAGACCGATACGGGACCGGCAGGTCGATCACAGATGTTGTACATGTGGGGGGGCTACATCTAGTGCGGGAGGGACGGCGGCAGCGTCTTTCCGGCGTTGGCGCTTGTCTGCCTCGTTTTGCAGTCGGAATAACTAGAAAGAATTTACACCTTGGTGAATGGTGCTTCTCCAAGCGCTACAGTGTGGAGTAATCGTCTCCCAGGTGAGAGGGTCGATTTGGCACTTTTCAGGTTTATCATAAATGTAAGCTTATACCTTTTCAGTTGCCCGCCAGCGTTACGTTTACTACTCGTTAGGTGACTGTAAAGTAGCTGCTTTGACAGTTTACTGTGGCCCATGCGGGTAACATGGCCAGTCCAGAGTAGTTGTTCATGGATAATGGTAGCCACGATGCTCCTACAGTTGGTGTCAGCAAGACTACTGGCATTTGTTCTTTTGTCTTCCCAGCGAACTCAGAGGATGGAACGTAGACTACGTTGGTGAAAGTTTTCAAGTGCCTTGAGGTGCCTCCTGTATGTAACCCATGTCTCGCTGCCATATAGCAGGGTGGGGAGGTCCACTGCTCGATATATGTGTAACTTTGTAGATAATTTCAGCTCCCTACAGCTGAAGACACGGTTTCGGAGTCTGCCAAAGGCTTGAGATGCACATCTGATCCGATGCTGAATCTCTTCAATGTCCGCGGTGGTGGACAGGTGGGAGCCCAGATTCCGAAAGTGGGTAACATTAGAAAGGTACCACAAACACTCCAAGTTTGGTGTAGTTCAAAACTTATTTTACACCGCAGATCATACGCCAACTAAAGCTAGGATTCCAATCACGTGGTAGCAGTAGTCATTAGCGGCCAAAGTAAATCATATTGAAATTTACAAAGCTGTTTCCATTGGCACGGTTGTGGTAGTGTAGGTGTTATGCGTTTGCGGTACATGTCAATCGGTCCCTTTAGCGATTGAAAACGTTACCGCATGGAAATGGACGAGGGAATCCCAACCGGTGACGTTACCACCCCTGTATTTTTTTACGGGATTAACCCACCAAGGCACAAGTCAATGACCCACATCAGGGCCTGGGGGCGAAAAAAAAAAATATATATATATATAATAATAATAATAATAATAATAATAATAATAATAATAATAATAATAATAATAATAATAATAATAATAATAATAATAATGATAATGATAATAATTATAATTATAATAATATTAATAAATATTATTTTATTATTATATTAAGAAATAAAAACTAATAAAAAATATAAATAAATATTAAATAAAACTACAATATAATATAATTATAGCAATAACAATAATAATTATAACAACAATAATAATAATAATAAATAAATAAAAAAATTTAAAAAATATATAAATATTGAGAAACGCTACAGTATTTGCGTTGTGTTGTCCAAATAAGTGAAACAATTGAGACCCTGCATTTGTGTGTAAATGAGGCAGAAAGTCAGATCAGCAACCTGGGACTTGGTCACAATTTTCGTGATGCCATATGGCAGCAGGGTCTACTATTAGACAACACATTATGCTTCCAATATCTTTCCAGGCGGTAGTACCTCCCGGTTTGATAACTGCCTACTACCAACATTTTACGAGATCCAAACATTTTGGACAACTGTTCTAAAATGAAGGTTCATGGTCTCAATAAAAGGGTCACTGGAATACAAATTTTTGTGTCCCTTAATATTTATCTACGTTGACTTGGGCAAATGACTTCTCTGCTCCTGCAGTATTTCACCAAATCCTCCTCAACCAGGGAAAGACCATGTGCAAACTGTTGTCTGCTCAGACGAAAATATTCTTTGAATTTTCTTCATCCAAGCTCAGATCTTTTACCAGAGTATTTTAGGCTCCATATTTGGTCCGATTCAGCAGCAATCTATGAACTCACCATCTATGTTTCCTTGTCCGTTTTTCCTTTGATTTACGAATGATCTTATACAAACCCAGGATGTTTAATAGTAAATAATCCTGTTCATATAAGGCTCGTAGCTTCGATGAACTAGGAGCCATCTTTCCTGTCCTGTTCCCGCTAACAGAAAGACAGCTACATGCAAATGGAAACGGGGGTGTCCATTTTTCAGGGCAATTTAACACAAACGCATAATGGAAACACATACAGGTATATGGAATCCTAGCATAATACAGTAACTCCACCAAATAACTAAACATTTAGTTAGTTACACACGAAAATACAACTAAAACTCAAATAAATAAAACCGATAACACAAGTGGCAATATCCAAGTGTCAGTAAAAAACCCAGAAAATATCGTATATTTTCCTCGTGTAAATATTCATAATAGGTCGTAAGTTCTAATTTTACCTTAACAGAAGATATGAGAACTGCGGTTCAAATGGCGCCAAAGATTGCACTTGGGATTTTTATTGTAATCTGAAGATATATTTTGACCCGTGAGAAAAAAGGTGGATCGCCATAAGATATAACACCCCAGTTTATTTCACTTGAAGATAAGATATCTCGACGTAATTAAACCTGAAGATTAACCACCCTACTGGTAACCTAACCTAACCGAACCCCAGGTAGCGTTAAGGTGGTTAGTCTTTAAGTGAAATAAGTTGGGGTGTTTAATCTCCAGGTTATGCAAAAAAAAAATATCGTACGAATCGTTTGAGAATTAGAAGCAAGTATTCAGAAAGTTGTCATGACGTGATGGCAATATTATGAGACCCTGTAGAACTATTGATGAGCCGCGTCAACGAACTGACTGTTGACTATTAGAGATTATACACACTTAAATGTTTGGGGGCTGCTTTATTACTCAGTTGACAGTTGCCCCAGTCACTCATGAACTAACTGTTAGAAACTACAATTATAACCCTAGTGACTGTTAAGGCATCAGTTATTCGCCATCCGACGATTAGAACCGCCAGTCATTAGTTAGTTGACTGTTTGGGGGTACCAGTTACCCATCGGGTGCTGTTCTAAAACAAACAAACAAGCAAACAAACACACACACTTGACCACCGACGGGTCAAGACGGGTCAGACGCACCTGGCGCTGCTCAGCAGCAGCCACGTCAACTGTTATGTTGGCCAATACCAACTCCCTCCCCTGAACCCTCCTCCCCACCGGAATATCAACAAGTTCTCGCCAAAAGTTACTATATCATTTGGGAAAGGAATGGAACCAGTGTTGAATAGTGGTGAACAGTGCTTAAGTCGGTGAAAAACAACTTGGCAGTTGAGTCTTACCCAAGCTAACCTTCACACAGTGAGGTCCCAGGTACCCAGTGATAATTCCCCTGAGACTCCACGATAGAGAAGCCTGGGACCACACCTCACCCACTTGAGCGAGTGAAGTCCTGTGA